TCTTGTCTTCTTCTGCCTACTAGTCGGGCCGGAACAGACTGGGCTATAACGACTGGCGACGCAGGTGAGATCCAGTTGTTTCATATGGGTTTTAACAGAAACATACTTGCTATTTCAGCAAGGAGAGTTTAAGTGCCGGCTCACTCTGCGTCATGTTCGAATCGTCTACATAATTCCGAAAGCAGCATTTATGATAATCTATCTCCTTATTCAGCGAATACCTATCGCATTTTCGAAAAAGTTTGCCTGCTTATTCATATTGATCGGGTTTAAGTTCGGTTTAATAGATATTATTTCTATCTCAGAATTGACTCAACACCTCAGAAAAAATACATAAAATCCGCTGGAACTTGGAACATAAATTATTCTTTATTTACCTCTCGTTTAGGCGATCGACGCCTCACAGTGTGGCAACTGAATTTCACCCTCAATGACAAGCTAGTACCCTCTCGGTTGAGTTACAACCTGGAACCGGACATCACAGCGGCCCCAGCCTTTGGCATCTCCTTCAGCGCCTATCCCACCAATGACTCCTTCTATTCTCCCAAACTACCCGTTCCTCCCTTCCCCGTCCTTCTCAGTGACTTGGATGCCGCTAATCAACCGGGTAAGCAGCGAATCTTCCGGCCTTTTAGTCGTCATTTATCTTTTTTCGGACAGCTATCGGACTGATGGAACCAGTCCACGCTATCATGTCACTGTTGTCTCCAGCAGCGACCCGATCGTTATGATGCCTTAATGATTGTCTTCCACAGTAAAGAAAAATTAAATGAGAACTCTAGCGAAAAAAAGAACAATTTATCTACAAGTATTAGCCGGTTGGCACTTACAACCATCAAGGCCTACACGGCATAACAGCATAAACTGCTACTGCTATCTGATTATGTCTCTGATGACGAATCTGCGACGGATCTCGAAAAGTCAGGCGAATAAAAGTATTGTCCCAGCGATCGAATCTTCTTCTCAGCGTAAACTAAATTTTAAAAGAGTTTCCTAGTGTTGATTGTTTTTTTTCTCCATTTTCACTGCCCTGCTTCCTTAATACATAATGTCCCGCTTTTAGCCCTCTTTCTGGTGCTGCATGACGATACGGTCTACCTCTGGCATGGCTGGTGGCCCGAGTCTGCCTTGGATTCTGGTGATGGGGCCGGTTCTGCCTCAACCACTCCGCGAAGCAGTGTCTCCGACCTGGCCATGGATATCGGACCAGCCAGTCCGCCCTTCGCGTCTGCTTCTCCTAGCTCTGCCATCCAAATGCGCAAACA